GCCCCCGCAGGGGCTACCACTCCCTGAAGGGCCCACATGCCCCACCCAGCCCCAACCCTGGCTTGCACACCCAGCCCCCTGATGGCTGCCCCAACCCCTGCTCACTCCCCCAGGCCTCCCAATGGCTGCCCCACCTGGCTCCATCCCCTGCTTGCACCCTGAGTCCCTCTGATGGCTGCCTCCCTGCCCCAGCCTCCTGGCACTTAAAAAAATTAAAAAAATTAAAAAGCCTCACACTCATTGGCAGTAGCAGGGGCTGTGGGGACTCTGGGGCCTCCTGGCAGAGCTGTCCCATGCAACAGGGGGCAGCAGAGGGCTCCCCAATCGTGCCCTTGATACCCTCCCCACCTGGCCCCAGCAGTCTCAAAAAGAAATAAAAAATGCCCCACACTCACTGGCAGTAGCAGTTGCCAGCTGGGTCACTGGGGCCTCATGGCAGAGCCCCCCATGCAGCACACAGCAGTGGGGTCTGGCCCCAGCCACCTGGCACCCGCACTGCCACTGCCCCATCACAGTGGTGCAGCCGGGGTTGGCAGGACGCCGCACAGCTCTGCTCACTGTCAGGCAGCTGAGGCTGCTGTGGCTGTCACCTAGGCCCTGTGCTGCCTGGGGGGCTCTGCCACAAGGCCCCAGTGAGCCTGACAGCAGCTGCTACTGCTGGTGGGTATGGGTGGGGCAGTGATCGGAGGGGGTAGGTGGGGGATGGGGCTAGGCAGAGCAGCAATCTGGGGGTGGCTGGGGGAGCAGGCAGAGGATGGGGCCAGGCAGGGCAGTGATCTGGGGGGCTGGGGGAGTAGGTGGGGTCAGTGGGGGTCCTCCCATGGTCCTCTTGCCCCTCCTCCAGCCTCCGCACCCCCTACCTACCGGCAGGAGCTCAGGTCCAGGTTCCTGCAGCTAGCACGCTGCCTGCCCTGCATGGCTTCAGCACCAGGCTGAATGTTTCTGTGGAAGACCAAGCCTTCAGTTGCCTCGGGGCATGGTCCAGGATCAGGCCCTGCCCTGCTTTTTTTTCCCCTAGGTTTTTTGTCTCCTGGATATCCAGGGGTCTAATTTTGTCCCCACACTAGAAATTTGCAGTGTGGGGAACATTTTTTTTTTTGTTTTTTGTTTTTTGTTCCCGCACATGCTCTTGCAGTCTCAGGGCTTTGAGATGCTGCAAGATGCACATGAAGACTCATGTTGATGCGCCCTATGAGGTTAACACAAAGTCTTCTATGTCAACTTCCAGGCAGCATGTGCTTTTCTGTGTCAGATGTGTTGCAGCTCTCAGAACAGTTTAAATGATTTTGTGATGGTGTTAGTATTCATGCGTCAGGAACCAGCTTTCTCAGAAGCTAAGCTTTGTCTGAGACACCAGATCCTTCTGCCATATAGTTGTCATACCATGGACTTGCATGCAGTCCCTGTTTATGCCTTCTGAGATGCTTATTCTTCAGGCTACTTCCCACCAACCATCTCTAGACAAATCTAGCCACTTGTGGGAGGGAGCCAATGAGTAGAGACTTATGAATGTATCTGGGATTCAGAAAGCTAGAGAATTCCAATGCCACATATATTATCACTGTGGGAAAACATTAGGCTAACAACTCTAAAGATGTTTACCATTAATGTTTAAGTGCAGCTGCTGAGTAATTACCGGCTAAAGGAATTCTACTCTGTTTTAGACCAGCTCGTTTTGTCAGGAAGGCAGTTGAGTGGGAAAAAATTCTCCCTAAAGACACCTCTAGCTGTCTCTCTTGCTCTCAGGCCAGGGTTGCCATCTGTCCATAAATTTATAGATACTTCATTAATAAACAGACTAAAAGCACTTGTCTCTAAAAGCCATAAAAAATTGAGACATCTGTAAAAACACACAACAACCAGAGCTTCAGTCAGCTCTACGTAGCTTATCACAGTGTTGAAGTACAGACAGAGCACAGCAGCACCACATGGTGTCCAAGTGGGCTTTCAGGGCTTTGTGGCTCACAGGAGTCTCCATATCTCCTTCCCCACTGAAGTCATGTGGTTGTGCTGGTGCTGTGTGAAGATGGGGTATCAGGGTGTGGGGGTGAGTAGGGGCTCTCTGGAGTGGGAGCAGGAGAATATAAAACTATTGCTGCAGTTGCCAACCCCACCCCACCCACTTTACTGATAATCTGCAATTGTTTTTAATGACAAATACATTTTTACTATGGTTTGAGCCCAACCCCTACCCTGGAAGAAGGGTTAAATTTATAATATGCAAAACATGTCAATGTAAAAGCTGGTTATCAGTAAATGGTTTGTATATTGTCGGTAAAAAAGTAATTGTCTTAGGTTGGCAAGCATGCCTTAGGCTTGAGGTCATGAAAACCATAGAGGGAAGACCAGTCATCCTAGGTCTGAAAAGGACCATTTGACCATAGGGACTCTGAATGTCATGTTTACAATGCCTGTTGTTTA